TAGTACCACTCTTTCCAAGGTTACATTTCATTTTTGTGTGTTTTATACCTATACATACACTAGTTGTTGTCTCCATTAAGAGTATAAGCTATTTGAAGACAAGGACTCTTTTACTCTTGTCTTTGAATGAGCAGTTCCTGGCACATAGTAAGTACTTAACTAATACTGGCTTGCTTTCTTGTTTGATTGATACATGAAAAACAATGCTTACAAAGGGAAATGGCACTGTTTTAATGGAGATTTTGTGGTTTAAGCCATGTCTATATTTGCAAAGTAAATTAGGCATTTAATGTAACTATACCTCTGTCCAAGAAGACAAAACAACCAAGTACTTTCATAGCTTGATTAAGCTTCACTTCAGCTTAAGAAACCCTAGGGAAATCAGTACTCATGAACCCTTAGAGATATATTTAAGACTTAAATATTTCTTTTTTTTTCTGAGTCTTAACATTTGTATTGCTATTTTAAATAAAGGTATCTGTTGTAGCTTTTGCAAAAAGATGTCTGCTGAGATGTCGAAGTTTGAGGCAATTGATAACTCATCTAGTGATTATTCCATAATGATTACATCACAGATCTCCTTTGTTTATTCCCTAGAGAATTTTTGAGAGTAGACATTTCCTTGATTTCTAATTCATCAACAATATCAATCCAGTTTTGCTGCATATGAATGATGGATGGATGGATGGATGGATGGATGGATGGATGGATGGATGGATGGATGGATAGATGGATGAAACACATTTATTAAGCACTTACTCTATACTAGTTACTGCACTAAATGCTTAAGAAAAAAATCAAAGAGATGAAACTGCCTTCAAGGAGTTTACATTATAAGACAGGAAGACATTACACAAAGAAAAGTGGTGGCTAAAGAAGGATTGGGAAGTCATAGGGATGGTGAGTTGGGCAGTGGAATAGAGAAGCAGTTGACTAACACACTCTTTCCAGATGTGCTTGCTATGAAAATAGATGGCAAAGAGACCATTTCTTTAGATCTATAGATCACATAATGTATGCTGAAAAGATTAGACATGAAGGATCAACAATGACTCTTAGCCAGTGATATTTACATATTTGACATTAAACTCAATATTGTTTTTATTCAATGTTCATTAATATCAATATACAACCTTAAGAACATTTTAAAATAAGTATATATGAATGCCATTTAAGGCATTAGAAAGGAAAACTGCTGGAAAAGTCATCATTTTACTGTAAATATTATTCACATTTCTTGAAGGAACTCATTGCTTCCTAGATAACATGAATATCTATACATTTATGATCATTAAATATAAATGTCACTTTCCTGTGCACAATACTGGAATCAACTATCCAGTATTAAAGTAGGGCAAAGTTACCATTCTATAATAAACTCTATCTGCTAGCTTGAAATTACTACGAAGGGTCCTTCTGGAATTAATTTTAGTTTTTCTCTGTGTGTGTCCTCCAGGTACAGTTGTGCTTAAGCAAAGTGATTCATTTAAGCCTCAGGTTCAGCATATCCATACCCTCTATCATTCACACACAAATATGTGTGTGTGTGTGCATGCAAGAGATTGGCCAAGTTTTCATTAATTATAGTTTGTTTAAAAGCAATTGCTTATAATAGCTTTTTTAGGTTTGTGAACAACCTGGCACAAGTATTATTTTAAAAAACAGTTACAACAACAAAACTCAACAGCTTTGAAGGAAACCCATCCCTTACTCAGTTTTTTGAAAAGTGCCCTTTTTGTGGTTATTAGAATAAGAAAACAGGTTTTTTTTCCCCTTGGTGTTCTTATATTAATTTATGAGATATGCAAAATGGATTTTGAGGAGAATTGTCTCCTGCAATACTAAAACATAGACATATGAAACAAACTTTTTATATAATTTATAACCACTATTTTTTTCTTATTTTGCTTTGTGCCATTTATTTCACCAAGAATGTTTTCTCCATTAAAGTATGGAAGAGGAAGAAAATCCCTGCTGTCAAAGTCACTACCTCAATTACCTTTCTGAGTCTGTTTCCTTGTCTATAAAATGAAAGAGTTGAACACTAAACCTCTAGTCTCTTCTGGTGGCAAATTCTAGTGTCTATGGTATTAAAATTAATTTTGTTTCACTGAAAATACTTCCACACTTTGTTATTCTTACCTCATTCTCCAGTAGAGAGTGAAGATCACAGCACATCCATGGCTCCTTATCCTATGCAACCCTTGTATATGTCCACCTGGAATTCTTTATATAAAGTCTGTCCAATACTATTATCTCTACTCCCTCTTTTTTCTCCTCTTAAAATCATCAGAAAAGAACTAATTTTAGTTCTGTATGTCCTATTTAACTTCTTCAGTGCCCTTTAAAACATTAATGTTTTGAAGTGACAATTGTTTATTTTCTTCATCAGAATGATAGCTCTTCATCATTATAAAGTCCCTTCCAATTGCTCAAATAAATTTGTGTTTCTAGTTTTCTCTTGATGCTTGTGTTTGTGTTTCAAAATTTCTAATCTTATTTTGTGAGGAATGCTTTAAAATCCTCTATTCCATTAAAGGCTTGTTTTCCCTCCACCAAGACTGTACTCAGGTTTGCAGTTTAAGTTATTCTTGTAAGACTTTGGACTTTTGAAGTATTGCATTCCAAGATCTCCTCTCATTTTCGGTGGAAGCTGTTTGGTCTTATGTGATCCTGACTGTGGCTCCTTGCTACTTTAACTGATTTTCTCTGGGTGTTTACATATTTTTTCTTTGAGCTGGGAATTTTGGATTGTAATTGATGTTCCTAAGACTCTTCCTTTTGGGGTTCCATTTAAGAAATGATTAGTGAATTCTATTTTCATTTAATCCTCTTGTTCTAATCTATCTGGACAGTTTTCATTTAAGAGTTTTTTAATTACAGAGTCCAGTATTTTTATTATAATGATTTTGGGGGAATCGTACGGTTCTTAAATTATCTCTCTTTGATGTGTTTTCCAGGTCATTTGTTTTTCATAGTCAATACCTTAAATTTTCTTATTTTTGCAATCTTTTGAGTTTTGTTCTAATATATCTTATCATCTCATAGAGTCATGGATTTCTGTGTAGTTTATTCTAATTTTTCAGGAATTCTCTTACTTAAGTAATGGTTAACACATCTATTATAAGCTTCTTAGCCTCTTTTGAATGCTTTTCTCAAGAGATTTTTTTTGTCTCTTGCTTCATTTCTTCTAGGTATTCATGTAGACTTTAGAGAAAATTTACTTTTTCCCCTTTAAGTTATTGTTGCAGTTGTCACGAAGTTAGGGTATTTTGATATTTTTTTCTTTTGATTTATTCATCTCTCCAGCTTTAATTCCAGGCTTGGAGCTTTGTGCTAGGGCCAAGCTCTTCTCCTTATTATGATTTTGGGTGAAATGATGGGCCCCGTGTGGTCTCACCTCAGGTCCACTGGATCTTTGTGATCCTATGTTTAGGGATTCCTAGATTTTTCAAGGTCATAATACTGGATTTTCCCCCCTTTTTTTTAAGGCAATTGGGGTTAAGTGACTTGCCCAGGGTCACACAGCTAGTAAGTATCAAGTGCTGGTCTGAGGCCGGATTTGAACTCAGGTCCTCCTAACTTCAGGGCTGGTGTTCTATCCACTGTGCCACCTAGCTGCCCCTCATAATAGTGGATCTTTAAGGCCTTCTCTGGCATCTGAAGTTCAGAATGCTTCCATCTATCATTTTTGGCCTACACTAATATTTATTTATCTGGTAAGGCCCATTTCCTATTGGCATAGGCTTCTGGTTGATTTTTTGTGTATTTCTTGAGTTGAAGTCACTTCATGCCATTTTGCATAGGGTAAGGCACTGTTTTTAGATTTCTGCTGGAGTAGGATGTGGGATGGCAGAGTTCAGCTGCCTATTTCCCTTCAAGCAGAGGACTTTACTAAGAATTCAATCAATCTTCCTTTTTTAATAAGCACCATCTAGGTAGAGTAGTATATAAAGGGTTGGATTTGTAGTCAGAAGGTCTGGGTTCAAATCCTGTCTCACTCATATTAGGTGTAGCCCCAGGCAAGTCATGTGACTTCTCAAGCTCAACAAAATGATGATGATAATAATAGCACTTACCTCACATGATTATTTTGAGGATGAAATGAGAAAATATATACAATGTCCTTACAAACCTTGAAGCACCATATAAATGTTACCTACTTATTATATGTCTTATAACTGAATCATCTGTATCAGTTATAGTGCAGGGCATAGTGAACTTAATGTCAAAAGCCCTAAGTTCATATTTGATCTGACACTTACTAGCTATATTACCCTGGACAAGTAACCTGACCACTTTGAGTCCCATTTTTCTTTTCTGCAAATTGGTAATAATAATCCTTATGCTACCTGATGTGGTTATTTTGAAGAAAATTAATCTACTGATTGTATGCAAAGCTTAAGACTTCCAAAGATGATTTTATCTTCTTTCTCTGTGATATATTCCTGTAAGCAGTAGAAATTATATCCGAAAGTTACAGAAAGATAAATATACTAACCCACTCCCCCAAAGCTCTTGACAAGCTCATTGAGAAAACATTGTATATAAATACATGTACTTAACATACATGCTTCTTTGTGTCACTAAAAGTAAATAAGATATTTTAAATTTAAAAGGATAATAAAATTTTGAAAATAATGCTTCCCATAATCACCTGCATCTTTTTGGATATACTTTATTCTTTTCTCTGGAATAACATAACCAGTCCCCTGAATAGTTGCAATTGCATTCATTTTTCATTCAGTTGAGTAGATGCTTTTAAATTATGCATTGTCACAGATAATGTGTTTTTGTACTATTTAATTAGAGGTTAATTGAACAGGGCACATTGAGAGCCCTAAAATAAGCTAGATGAAGTACTTGATTAAAGCCTGAAAAGGGATTCTGTTTTCCCCCAGGTAACAACCTTTCTATCATATATTCTATAAACTATATAACAATGAAGATTTATCAAAATAAATGAATAGCATTGCTTATTACATCAATTTTTTTTTCAGATTCATGAAGATAACAGGAGTGAACATCTTGAAAGCAAGTATGTAGAAAAAGTGGAACATGTAATACCTTCAGCCTCTGCATTTTGTTCTGGTAAGTTTTATGTTTCTTACCGGGTAGAATTTAATCATTGTGGAGAATCTGAATAAATATTATCTGTTCAGTGACAACATAGCAGAGATGCATATATTTAGTAATAAATTGTATTTGAAAAGCTATTATCACCACTTTGAGTCTAACTATTTTATATTAGTTGAATGGTTTTAGTTTCCTTAAAGAAAATAAATATTATGTATCTACTCTATTATTCTCCAAAGACCATGTGATCTACTGGAAAGAGCACCACGATTCAAGTGATAAATTTACTTAACTAACTCCATGTCCTTGGGTAAATTATTTAATCTCCTACTTCATATTCTACAAAATTTAAAAATTGGACTAGATGGTCTCTGAGGCTATTTCCAGTTATAAAATCTCACATTTAATTCTCTTTTGACACTAAAGCGCAAAAACAGTCATATGGACAAGCCACTTAAATTCTACAGGCCTCAGTTTCCTTATCTATAAAATGGGGATAATAACAGCATAAATGTACCCCTGATCATTTGTGGGAATGAGATGCAGTGAACAGAGGACTGAATGCAGACACAGGAAGATCTAGATTCCATTCCTTCCTCTAGCAATTATTGACTTCATGATCCTGGGCTTTAAAGTACAGAAGGAAATTCTCTAAGACTACAAGTCACACACCAACATTGTTAGGATGATTTTCCTTCTGGAGCACTCTCTATACCAATGACATCAAAGGTCTAGTTGAAAAATAGAACAACAATAACAACTACAGTAGAAATAATATGTTAAGGCACTTGCTGTGATTTCATAACTTTAGATTTTCAAATTCAGCCTTTTATAAAGAAGTTACTTCTCTCAAACAAAGAGATTCTCTCCCTTGAAAAAACAATATCTAAGCCTAAAGTTTTAATGTGCTGCTGCTGGTGAAGATGGATCACAGAACGTGTCATTCAAACTACAAGGCTTGTGTTTTTCCTAAGGTTAAGATGGCAATCTCGACTCAAGTTGTGACAGATGAAGTACAATTTTCATCATCATCATAATTAGCAATAATAGTGATTATAAGATTCCTTATAATAGTAACTCCTCACATTTATACACTCATTGGAAAAGACCCTGTTGTTGGGAAAGATTGAAGGCAAAAGTAAAAGGGTATGGCAGAGGATGAGATGAATAAATGGTGTCATGGAAACAACAAATGTAAGCATGGGCAGACTTCAAGAGATAATGGAGGATAGGAGGGCCTGGCACACTATGGTCTGTGAGGTCACAAAGAGTCAGATATTGCTAAATGACTGAACAACAATATCGCCTTTGTACAGCACTTCCAGTTTGGCAAATTTACCTTTTGGCAACTATGTGAATAGGGTAGTACATGTATTATTGATTCTATTTTGTAAGTAAGGCAATTCAGATGTAGAGAGGTGAAATTATTCTCCTAGTCACATGGGTATAAGTAGAATTGTAAATCAAGTCTTCTGACTTCAAATCTAGAGCTCTTCCACTACAGCATAGTGCCTCTCTCATTGAAATTGCTGTGCTCACATATTAACAAAAAAGTATTTATAAATATGGTATCTTAGAGCATTTAAAACCGGAAACACTTCCAGAATGAATAATATTTAAGAAATCCAGTAAGAAACCACAGTAAGTGGCATCACTTACCTCAAAATCTTCACAAAAAGTCAGCCAGAAGTCTATAGGCAATAGAATAGGGGGCACGTCAGGCAAATCAGGAATGAACATGACCAGAGATGAGACAGATGGACCTGACAAGGCACATCTGAAATACCTACAAGGTGGTCAAAAAGTTCCAGGGTGAAGACCTTTGAAGCCCCATGGAGAAACAGCAAGCAACTACTGGTGGGAAAGCAGAGACTTGTGAGTTCTATGATCTCTAAAACACTATCTTAAGATGCAAGAGAGAGTTGTGAATATCTCATACTCTGCACCTCAAAATTCCGGAGTGTTCTAATCCCAGGAGGTCAGCACAAGCATCCAGGAAACCCAAGGTGAAACCATGCATCAGTCGCTATCAAATTTATTGCTAATCTAAATCCACAGCAATGGCTAGCAGAAAAGCAAGGACTACATGAATAGCTAGAAGAAATGAAACAAAAGATTTGAAAAAAAATAATCTCAAGGAAAAAAATTGGAAGGGGAATAAGAAGAGAACAAAATGTACTAAGCTTTACTCATTTTAATGGAATCCTTGAAAACTAAAATAAACAAACGAATATAGAAGCAAGAGATAGTAGAACAAATCTTAAAAGATTAAAAAATAGAAGAAAATTTAAGATGTCTACCATCAAATGAAATTGATCTAGAAAATGGACCAAGGAGAAACTCAACATGACTGAAACAGAGCTCATTATCTTTTCCCCTAAACCCTACCTGCCTCCTATCTTCACTATTACTTTAGATGTCAACAGCATCCTCCCAGTCCCTCAGGTTCCCAACTTGGGAGTCATCCTGAACTCACTATTTCTCATCCCCCATATTAAGTTGTTGCCAGGCCTGTCAACTTCATCTTTGCAACATCTCTTAAATATGCCCTCTTCTTTCCTCTGACGCTGCCGTTACTCTGGAACATGCCCTCGTTACCTCATTCTTAGATTATTGTAATAGCTTGCTGTTGGGTTTGCTTTCCTCAAGTTTTCCTGTACTATAATCAATCTTCCATTCAGCCATCAAAGTGATTTCCCTGAAGTGCAGGTCTGACCATGTCACCTCCCTACTCAGTAAAGTCCAGTGACTTTCTATTGCACCCAAGATCATATAGAAAATCATCTGTTTCACATTCAAAACCCTTCATAACCTAAACCTTTCCTGTCCTTCAAGTATTCTTATGCCTTATTATCTGTCACATACTCTTCAATTCAATGACATAGGTCTCCTTACTGTTTCATGAATGAGACACTCTATCTCTTGACCCCTTGGCATTTTCTCTGACTTTACCCCATGCCTGGAATACCCTCCCTCTTCATCTCCACCTACCAGCTTCCCTGACTTCCTTTAAGTCCCAGCTAAGCTCCCACAGGAAATCTTTCCCAATCCCTCTTAATTCTAATGACTTCTCTCTTTTCATTTTCCCCTATATTCATCCTATATACAGCTTGTTTGTACATAATTGTTTGCTTTTTATCACTCCTATATGAGGTCCTTGAGGGCAGAGTCAAGCTTTTGTCTCTTTGGGTATCCCCAGTCCTCAGCATAATGCTTAGTACATAGTTGTTATTGTTCATTCATGTCCAATTCTTTATGGCCCGATTTGGGGTTTCTTGGCAAAGAAACTGGAGTGGTTTGCTCCTTCCTTCCCCAGATCATTTTGTAGATGAGTAAACCAAGGCAAACAGGGTTAAGTGACTTACCCACAGTCACATAGTTAGTGTCTGAGGCTGGATTCAAACTCAAGTTTTCCTGACTCCATGCCCAGCATTCTGTCCACTGTGCCACTTAGCTGTCGTGTGTGTGTGTGTGTGTGTGTGTGTGTGTGTGTGTGTATGTGTGTGTGTGTGTGTGTGTGTGTGTAGCTGGAAATAATCCCAGAGGGAAGGCACTAGCTAGCACTAAAGGGGATCAGGAAAGGCTTCTTGCAAAAGGAGAAATTTAAGCTGAGATTTGAAAGAAGCCAGGGGAACCAGGAGGTAGAGAGATAAGGAAGGAGAGAGTTATAGCCAGTGAAAATACACAGGATTGGGAGCTGAGTGTCTTGGGCAAAGAACAGCAAAGAAGCCAGTTTCACTACATCACAAAATATGTTGAGAGGAGTAAGATGTAAGAAGGCTAGAAATAGAGGGATGGTCCAGGATAAAAGTTTTCAAAAGTCAGAGGATTTTATATTTAATCCTGGAGGTATTGAAATTTATTGAATAAGGCAGTAAATATGGTCAGACCTGCACTTTAACAAGACTGCATTGATAGCTAATTGGCAGATGGACTGGAGTGGGAAAATATTTGAGTCAGGAAAATATTCTCCCCTTTCCCCAACCCTCCACAGTAGGTTATCGCTATAGTCTAAGCATGAGGTGATGGGGCTGTGCAGCCGAATGATAGCAGTGCCAGAAGATAGAAGGGGGCATATACAAAAAGTGTCACAAAGGCAGGATCAACAAGGCTTGGAATCTGATTGGATATAGAGGGTAAGAAAGAATAAGCAGTTCAGATTATAAGCCTAGGTGACGGAAAGAATTGGAAACTAAGGGGTGCCATAAATTGCCTCTAAGGCAATTGGAGAATGGCTTAACAAATTATGATATATGACTATAATATAATATATATGTATTGTAAAAAATGATGAAAGAGACAATTTCAGTGAATTCTAGGTAGTATTACTTGACACTGAGTGGAGTAAACAGAACATGGAGAACAATTTATATAAAAACAATAACATTTAAAGGGAAATGATCTCAAAAATACTTATGATCTCCGATCCAAGCCATAATCAACCACATCTCCAAAGGATCTATAATGCAATGTTGCCCATCTCCCAACAGAGAGTTAGGTAATAGACACAAAGTGCAGAAACCTACAATTTTGGACCCAGCCACCATATATATTAATTTTACTAAACTGTGGTGGTTGGTTACAATTTTCCCCCTTTATTTCTCCCAGTCATTTGGGAAAAGGGACTGGAAATGGTAGGTTTTTTTTAAAAGCTATTGAATTTTTTAATGCACAGAAGAAAGCAGAAAGAAGTTCAGAAGAAAGCAGACAGACAGGAGAGTCATGAAAGTAACATGCAGAATATTTTTAAAGCAAGTCTATAAAATGGAGATTCACATTTTCATTTAGAATCTTTTTTGAGCTTTCTGCTGTGTGTATGGAAATGTTCTTTTTATGTTTATTCAAAATAAAAAAGTAAAAATGAAAAACAAATGCCCATGGTTGAATCTGGTAATCTTTTTTCACTCATTTCCAACATTAGCTTTGTGAACTAACTGCATATGTTAAGTTGTAGTTCTTTTCAAAAACTGTTAATGCATCCCAGAATTCTTATCTCTATAGTGGCTGGCTGGCTTTTTTCTTTCTCTATCTCAACCACAGTTTTATACTTTCTGAACTTTTTTTTAAACCTAAACAAAAGACCAAGTTCTATCTGACTTCTCTCCTAATTTCATTCTCAACACAAAATGGAAACAAACAAATAAAATGTGTATTGTAATTTTAATAATGATAATGCAAAAAGTCCTCCAGTTACTGAAGGTTTCTCACTCCTTTCTTTCTTCTCTTCTTCCTCTTTATCTCTAATTGTGGTAGTGTGGGCTATCCTAAATATTTTCTTCCCCAAAAGTCTGCTGCTACAGACATCAGCTCACAAAATGCCCCCAATGTGCTGCTTCTGGCTCTATTTAAATAAAAATCCTGAATCTCATACACAACAGAAAGCATTTTTTATTGAATTTTATGTTATTTTCAGTCCCAGATTCTTTCCTTCCCTTCATCTCCTTCCCCATCCATAATATAAAGCATTTTAAACAAAATTTAAACTAGACTTTTGAACAGAGATTTATGGACAGTGAAATTTCATTACAAGTCTGTGTTACCATGACATTTTTAGGTGCAGCTAGGTGGCACAGTGGTAGATAGAGCCTTGGAGTCAAGAGAACCTGAGTTCAAATTCTGCTCAGACACTTACTAGTGATGTGACCCTGGGCAAATCACTTAACCCTGTTTGTCTCAGTTTCCTTCCTCATCTGTAAAATAAACTGTAGAAGGAAACTGACAAACCACTCAGGTATCTCTGCCAAAAAAACCCCAAACGGAGTCACAAAGAGTTGGAAATGACTGAAACAACAACAGCGGTCACAGAAGCTCAGAATTTGAAAGTGTGGGAGGGGCCTCAGCAGCCATTAGTTTAACCCTCACTCAACCGCTACAACATCCACTATGAATAGTCCTCCTTATAATAACAAGGAATGTCATGTGATCATCAGATCCCTCTTCCTACCTTCACATATGTTTACCTCCATTTTATAGATAAAATAGCTGAGGTCCAGATGGGTTAAGTAACTTATACAAAATCAAATAAGCAATAAATCATAGCAAGGAGAAACTTCTTAAAGAAAACAGAAACTGTTGTTCATAAGAATTAGTAATACGAGAATTTAGAATCATGGATTTATAGCTAGAAGGGACTTTAGGGGTCATATAGCCCAACCCCCTTCAATTTACAGTTATTAAACTTTTATTAAGCACCTACTGTGGGCCAGGCACTAATTGCTAGGGATACATGAGAAATAAAAGACAATCCCTTCTTTCCAATGAGGAAAGTGAAGTGACTTGTCTGAGGTCATGAGTCAATCCACAGTGACAGAACTGTGATTTGAACGCAGGTCCAAAATACATTAAAAGGCCAAACACATTAAAAGAATAGCTATGTGAAAACTCCAGCTTTCTTCTGGCCCTTCATTCACATGTAATTCAAGATTAGCTTGCCACTGAATGCCATCATCTTTGTCATCTCCTACTTATCACTTATTTTATTAAGTCAGATTTTTTGTTGAAATAAAAAATTCAGTGATGTTATCAAACATAGGACTCTGCTCTGACAAGTCAGCAGAATCAGAATATTATTGTATGTATGAGTATGTCATGTACTGAGGTGGCAAAATATGATGGGAGCTTTCACTGTTCATTTGGTAAATATTTCAAAAACCCAGAAACTGCTGTTCACCCTACTTTGGCATTTGACAGCCTCTCTCTGTATTGGCTCATAAAAGTTTTATTAGTAATGGGGTTACTTCTGTGGGAAACTGTGAAACATGAAATACTTCCAGATGGTGTATTTTAAATGAAATGATACGGTGTTTCTCCCAAACAGCAATGATGCCACATACAACACATCACCATGGAAGAGGACAGATCTACAAGGAGGAAGCAGAGGAAGGAAAAAAGGAAGGGGAAGAGGAACATGACCATGAAGACAGTAGACAGGAGAGAGGCACCTGGGTTGAGTCAGATGACGAGTTATATGTTGTTGTTGCTGTGAACAATCAAAAAGGGAATTCAGAAGATCCCTTGTTCTCTGAAAGACCTCCACTCCCCCCTCCTCGAGCTGTGGTTTCTCCCACTGGACTAGAAAAGCCGCATTGTCTGTTACCAGGTAAGTTTTGAGTCAATATAGCAAGCCAGTTTTGGATGACGTACTTTGCTTTTCTCTGATGCACACACATATATGACACACGCCTGACTTTGAAGACAATGAATGCAATAAACATTTGCTAAGTGACTATGGCATACAGGCAATGAATAAAATAGTTTGTGCCGGCTTTCAAGGTATTTCTAGAATAATAGAGTAATAACGCATGAATGCTAAATACATTAACAAAAAAAAAAAGAACTATGACAGGTGGGAGGGGGAACTAATACTCCAAAGATCAGTGAAGGCCTGGTGGTGACAGTGAGGGTTAGTGTATAGAGCACTAGACTTGGAGCTAGCAAGACCTGAGTGCAGATTCTGCCTCACGTACTCACTAGCTGTGTGCCACTAGGCAGATTACTTAACCTCTATGTCCCTCAGTTTCTTCATCCATAAAATGAGGGGTTTGAAGTTGGTGGATTCTGAGGCCCTTCCTAGATCAAGATGTATTATGCTATAATGAAGATGTCAGATGGCCTTTGAGTTTCCTAGCATCAACAGAGGGAAATTCCACAGATAAAGGTGTGGAAATGGGAAATTCTGGGCACATGGAATAAAACAGCTTCGATCAAAGCATAAAAATGGAGTAAGTTCATGGGGCAAAGAGTTATCTAAGTTAGCTAGAAGGGCAGGGAATGTGATACAGGCAAAAGCGCACTGGGATCAGGTCCCAGTTCTGCCCTTTACCACTTATGTCACCTTGGACTTAATGTCTCTGGGCCTCAATTTCCTTATCTGTAAAATGAAAGAATAGAATACCTCTAATGTTTCTTCAAGTTCTAGATCTAGGATTCTATGAATAAGGATAGAAAAATAGGATGGCACCAGGTTATAAAGAGTTTTGAATGCCAGCAATAGCAGTTTGAACTTTATTTAAAAGCCAGTACAGGAAACTTTGTGAGCAGAGGAGCGAAAAAGCAAGATCTCTAATAGAATATATATATATATATACACATACATACATATATCCAATATAATATAATCTCTAATATAAGAATGATTTTTTTTCTGGCACTGATATAAAAGATAGATTGGAGGGACTGGGAGGGAAGAGAATAGAGAAATAAGAAATCTATTGCATACAGGTAATGAGGACCTTACTAAGCTGATGTTACTAGAAATACAGAGGAAAGGAAGGGTATTGGACATGGTAGAGTTGTGATTCTTATGATCTGGTAACTGATTAGAAAGGAGCCATGAGAGAGCATTAACCCCAGGTTCGTGAACATGGGATATGGGGTGAATGGTGGCACCCTAGATAGATAAAGTCAGCATAAGGCATAGATTAAGGGGGTAAGATAATAAGTTCCATTTTGAACATGGAGAGTTTGAAAGTGTTGTTGTTGTCCAGTCATTTCCAGTTGTGTCCAACTCTTCATGACCCTATCTGGGGTTTTCTTGACAAAGATACTGCAGTGGTTTGTCATTTTCTTCTCCAGTCCATTTTACAGAAGAGAAAACTGAAGCAAATGGGGTTAAGTGACTTGATCAAGGTCATGCAGTTAGTAAGTGTCTGAGGCCAGATTTGAATTCAGGAAAATGAGTCTTCCTGACTCCAGGCCTGGCACTCTAGCCACGGTGCCACTTAGCTGCCCATGTGCTTGAGGTACCAGTGAGCTATCAAGCAAAGATGTATTGTAGGCAACTGAGATCAGATACGAGTGCAGATGTGAGCTCAGAGCTTAAAGATGTAGACATATATATATACACACACACACACACACACACACACACACACACACACACATGTTTTTATGTATGTATATACATATGATAGATAGATATAGATATAGATTTAGTAGTTACCTGCATAGAGATAGTAGTTGAAACTAGGAAAACAAGTACGTTTGCCAAGGAAAGGAGTAGATACAAAGAGAACAGCGAGCCAGCAATGAACCTTTGGAGGACCATATCAAGGGCTCATGAAGATGAGAAATCAGTAGAGACAGAGAAAGAACAGTTATAGAAATAAATAAGATCCATTGACTTAGAAGAGATCTCAAAGACCATTTAGTACAGACTCCTCATTTTACAGGTGTAGATAGCCTGGAGAGGTCAGTGGAGGTTAGGTAACATGCCCAAAGTCACACAGGTAGTAAGTTCTAAGGCAGATGAAAGGACTGAGAAAGCCCAAGCTAAGCCCTGATTCACTAAAAGGTCTGGACTTGGGAGTTGTGAAGACGGTGCCTACATTCGCAATCACACCTCTGAAACACCCATTCCATAATCCAGATGTGCCAGATTATTCTCTGCCTCTAGAATCACATTGTTCTGCTCTCTCCACTCTGTGTCTCTCCTCACCCTATTCCCTAAACCAAGCAAACCTTCTCCAACTTTGCCAGTTGAACTCCAACCTGGCCTTTAAAATATCATTCAAAGGGTCTGAATTTTCATTATGTCATGTATCCCTTTGGTGATCTGAGGAAGCCTATAGGTCCTTCTCAGAATAATTTTTAAATACATAAAATAAAATATGTGGAATTATAAAGGACACCAATTTCACTGAAATAGTTATTCGAGTATTAAAAAAAAGTCTATAGACCCCAGATTAAGAAACCCTGGTATATACTTCTAGGGCTAAATCCCAAAGAGATCATAAAAATGGGAAAAGGACCCACATGTACAAAAATATTTATAGCAGCTCTTTTTGTAGTGGCCAAGAATTGGCAATTGAGGGGATGTCCATCAATTGGGGAATGGTTAAACAAGTTATGGCATATTAATGTTATGGAATACTATTGTGCTATAAGAAATGATGAGCAGGCAAACTTCAGAAAAATTTTGAAAGACATCTATGAACTGATGCTGAGTAAAGTGAGCAGAACCAGGAGAACATTGTACATAGTAACAGCCACACTGTGTGATGACTGACTTTGATAGACTTAGTTACTCTCAGCAATATAAGGATCTAAGACAACTCTAAAAGACTCACAATGGAAAATGTTGTCCACATCCAGAGAAAGAACTATAGAGTCTGAATGCAGATTGAAGCATACTATTTTCTCTCTTTTTTGTTATTTTGTTTCTTCTTTCTCGTGGTTTCCCTAATTCATTCTAATTCTTCTTCACAACTTGACTAATGTGAAAATATGTTTAATAGGAACGTATATGTACAGCCTATATCAGATTACTTGTTGTCTTAGGGAAGGGGGAAGAGAGGGAGGTGGAGAAAATTTAAAAAGCAAAAGCTTGTGAAAGTGAATGTTGAAAATTCAAAAAAAAAATTAATTAATTTAAAAAAGAAAAAGAAACCCTGGTGCACATTGAATGTCTTATCCTACATGAGAGCTTCCTTCATGCCTTCTCTGTAATTTTTTTAAAAGTTTTATTGATGTGTTTTGTTTTTATGTTATAAACACGTACATATTACTTCTGTTCTGTGAGGGGTCTCTTATAACAAAACAAAATAATTAAGTAAAACTAATAACATAGTGACCTCATTCAAAAATGCATCTGTAACACCATCCGTCTGTAACAGCACCCTCACTTCTTTTTTTTTGTTTTTAATTAGCAGGTATCTATTCTCTTTCCTTCACACCTCCTATCCTATTGGAAAAAGAAAAAGATTTTTGTAACAAATTCAAGCAAAACAAATTCCCTCAATGGCTATATACAAAAATATATGTCTCTTAATGACATCACCCCCTGTACTTGACATAGTGTTGTTCATTCATCAATACCCTTATCCTCTAATCTTCCGCATTAGAGTTATTCATGTTTGTATCTTATGCCTTCCCCACAGACCATGACATTAGCAAGATGATGCCATGACCTGCAAGTGAATTTGTTTTTGTTTTTGTTTTTGTTTGTTTGTTGGCTAGGCAATGGGGTTAAGTGACTTGCCCAGGGTCACACAGCTAGTAAGTGTTATGTGTCTGATGCCGGATTTGAACTCAGGTCCTTCTGAATTCAGGGCCGGTGTTCTATCCACTATGCCACCTAGCTGCCCCAAGTGAATTGGTTTTAAGTGAGGGAGAGCTGTGCAAAGTCACAAGCCTCACTTTCTCCTCCAGAGCCAGGTGGATCCAGTGGCCAGATATAGATCAGGAGAACTGGAGATGGCCCAGGATATACATTTTACATGTAAATACAGTCCGAAGATGTGCTTGAAAAATCAGAAGAAATTCTGAAAAGGATTTCCCATTTTTGACTTTGTGGTATAATTCACTTGTCATGGAAGGTATCTGGAAGAAATCCATTCAAAAATTGTTATTTGATGATCACAAGATGAGGCAAAGAATTGTGTTTGCCTGCCAACAAAAAGACATGTTTGGCGTATATTAAGAACCTGATACTGCATAGGTACAATTAACTAAAAGTAACAGGACAGGCTAACATCATGCATCATTGTTTTCTCAGTTGGGGACAGTTATGCATGAATTAATTATTATTAGAACCATCACAAGCCTCCATAACAAGAAAACCATGATCATTAGTAATAAGAATTTGAACTCAGTCCTTCCTGACTCCAGGTCCAGCATCCTATCTATTGAGCTGTCTAGCTGCCTCCTGGCACATAGTAAATGCCTAATGCTTAGCACATAGTAAATACCTAAACACTTGTTGACGAACTGACTCTCCCTTATATTGTTCAATTTAGTGTTCATGTAAACTGTTTGGGGAATGAAATGCATGTAATGTGCTTGTAATATGCGTTAATACTATATGTAACAAGAGGCTAAATGCGTCCTAAATCTTTTATGGCAGGGAAAATACTAGAAGGACAAAGTGAACGCAGCCAGGCCTGGTGCACTCTTGGAATTAAAAAAGAGACAGAGGATGAGCTGAAAAGGGAGATGGAAAAGAAAGAAGAGTATGAGGAAAAAGAAGAGGAAGACCCTTATACATGTGCAGAAATTGAGGAGAATGAATATGACATAATATTGGCCAATGGGAGTATGAAGAAGAAAATAGGCAGCAGATCTTTCATCATAAACAGACCTCCAGCCCCAGCCCCAAGACCAGCAAGTGTTCCCGTTAGAGAGGGGACCGTGCCTTTTATAGCTCAAGGTAAAGTGTGGGTGTGTAGAGTGCGTGCATGTGTGTATGGGTGTCTGTGCACCTACACCCATTGGGGTGCTTAACAGGATAAGGCCCGGTCCTGGGGAGCCATGGCATAATGGGGGGGGGAAGTGATTTATGCTCCATTTGCTTCTCTTCAGAAAGACAATAGAGAAGAAAAACAAGGCTAACTGATTAGACTCTAATGCTAGTTCTTCTTTCAGAAGGGCTTGTTTTTAATAAATCAACCATGGAATATAATTCCACGGAAGATAGCAGAGAATTAAGTTCTGATCTACTTATGTGATGCAAGTAGAATAAATTAAACTACTTCATTGTCCACAAACTCAGTAAAAGTGTAGCTAAGGGATTTAAGGGCACTTTTTTCTTTATACTTTCTTTTGGAAGTTTTATAAATCTAATTACTGTTCCTACTTGCATTATTTTAGATCATTTTAAAATCTTAAGCAGTTTGAAGCAAATCAGGCTAATCTCATTTTGGTAATATTTCCTCCCCAGCAACAAAGGAGTGTGTGTGTGTGTGTGTGTGTGTGTGTGTGTGTGTGTGTGTGTGTGTTTGTGTGTCTGTGTGTGTGTCTGTGTGTTTTGAGGGGAGCTGGGTGGAGTGTGTAAGGGAGAGACACCTGTGTCTCTTTTCTTTGCTCAGGCTGTCTACTCATCTTTAGCTCCTCATCTTCTTTCATTAATAGATAACAAACCTAGAAATTTCCTAGCTTTTAACTATCTGGCTTCCTTATGAGATGACATCACCTGGAACTGTGAGATTTTTTTTTTTCTTGTTGATGCCATTTCCTAGTGGGTTTAATTTGGTACTTTCCACCAGTTTGTTTTGTAATAGTTGGCAAATTTCAAACTCATTCATTTAGTCATTCAAGAAATATTTATTGACTGCTTACTCTGTATAAGGCACTCAGCCAAATGGGGGGAACAAAGCTGAATAAGACATGGTCCCTGCTCTCAAGTAGCTATAATCTTGTAGAGGAAGGAAAAAGAATGCACAAATAACTCTAATACAAGGTAGAATATGATAAATGAGATGCAAAGTGAGGCTGTAGGAATTCACAGAAGGCAAAATGGCTTTGCTAGTGATCAAATAAGAATTTATTGAGAAGTGAATAACTAAAAAAGCATTTGTTAAGTATTTACTATGTGCCAGACACTCTGCTAAGTGGTGAAGCATAAATAGAAGAAAGCGAGAAAGTCCTTGCTCTCAAAGAACTTACATTTTAACAAGGGAAATAGATACATACATACATACATACATACATATACATACATACATACATAGATGATAGATAGATAAAATAGATAGATAGTAGATAGATGAATGAATAGATAGAAAGATAAATAATAGATAAATATAGCAAGTAGATAGATGATAGATATAGCACATATATACAGATAGATAGAAAGAATAGATAAATGGATAGATAGTAGATAGATGGATGAATGGATAGATAGAAAGATAAATAGTGGATAGAGAAATATAGCAAGTAGGTAGATAGTAGAGATAGATGATAGATATAGTAGATAGATAGACAGATAGAATAGATAAATGGATAGATAGATTGATGAATGGGTAGATAGATAAATGAAGAAATATAGTAAGTAGATCAACAGTAGAGATAGCTGATATAGTAGATAGGTAGATAGATATACAGATAGAAGAGAGACAGAGAGAGAAGGAAAGAAAGGAAGGAAGGGGAGAGAGGGAGAACAGGGAAGAGAGCTGGTGGTGGACAGAAAGCATAGAGAAGTGAGAGGACATGGAAATGTTTGGAGGTAAAGAGAAGTTATCCTTTCCAGGAACACTAGTGTTAATTTGATTACTCTTCTAAGAGTCAGATTTATGGGACAGAGGGTAGGGAGGATTCAGGAGCATTAAGATGGCCAGGGAACTGAGTGGTGAGTCTGGGTCCAGGCAAGTTATGGTGGGAACTCACCAACCAGAAACCCAGAGTCCCAGGGGTGGGAGCTTGAGTTCCAAGTCAAATATGGAGACTGTAGCTAAGGCAGCATAGAGATTAAGCAGGTGACATTTGAATTGAGCCTTGAAGAATGAGTAGAGTTTTGATAGACAGAAATGGGGAGCAAGAATAGGGCAGGAATTTTAGGCAAAGAGGAGAAGCAAAGGTATGATGGAGAGAAAATGAAATCTATTTTCTAGGAGTATAAATAGTGAAGTTTGGCTATCAAACAGGCTGGCTATGTTAGTTGGTGCCCAAATGTGAAGAATCCTAAATGACAAGCAGAGGACTTAGGATGGTTATGTGCTCTAGTGGGGAGTCCTGATCTGGAGTCCAGAAACCTGGGTTAAAATTTTGGATACAATATATATTCATTATCTATGTCAGAATGGGCACTTATTTTGCTGAACTTAGCAATAAGAATACTTGTACTTTGAATCTTATAGAGTTTTTGTGAGAAAAATACTATATAAGCCTAAAAGCACTCAGAAAAATATGATTATTTTCTTTTTTGAACTAGACCTATGATTTCATTGGAATGAGGGAATTTCCTATAAGGAAACTCCTTCTACCAGTTCAGGTCAGCACCTGCTCTGCAATGTATAATCATTGAAAGTCAAGAATGAAGTGACTTGACCAGAGTCACTCACTAGTACGTCTCCCATACTTGAACCCAGGTGCTCCTGACTCTATCTACTATGACACACTGCCTATTATTATTTTTAGCATCATCCTAGAAATTTTTGAAAGAGTGTATTTCTCACTGCACTCTATATGAGTGTTTCATAAGTGCCAATATGTGGAATAGTCTCAGCAAATTTTAGTCCATCTGCAAAGTCAAAGACCCTTTCTTCTCAAAATAAATAAACCTGAAGACTTTACTTTCTACTGATGAAATGAATTATACCTAAACTCACTGTGGCCTATGTGTATAAGTCTAAATCTCAATTAATTTATTGGGTGGTAGATTGCCACAACCACATACCTAGGTAGGAGGGATTCCTTGTCATTTCTGTATTTGCCTTGGTCTTCATGTCTGTTTATAATCAGGCACCAATTGGCAAGTATAGGGGGTGTCCAATATATAATAGTTATTAAAAGATCCATTTTTCATCTGGATCTGAAGAAGGTTCACCAAGACCATGGTGTGGTCTTAGAAATGTTTTATCAAAAAAAAAAAACCCAGGAAGCCAGGAAAATATTTTTGACATTTCAAGAAAAAAAACATATTCAGAATTAGGAAATAAACCCATTAATTATTTTTTATGAAAATCTTGCAAAATGAAATGCCAAAGGAGAACTTTTTAACTTTTTTAAAGGGTTTATCAGTTGAAAAATTACTGATGAAAGCTTGGTATTTAATTGCTTTTCAAAACACTATCAGTAAGAAATGATTTTCACAATAATAAAATCAAAGCAAAGAAATTACTAGGAGGTTGATTCAGTGGAAAGAATACTGGATTTGGAGGTAGGAAGACCTGAGCTTAGGTGTTGATTTTCTTATTGTTGCTCTGGCATGGCCATCAAGAAATCAATTACTTTAGGCCATGTGACGTGATGAAGCAGAATTTTAGCAAGTGGCATATGTTTCATACCTCTTTCATTTTAGCAGATATTGGGAGAAAATCTAAATGGTTCATGGGTCTACAGCTTCAAGTTTCATTTGAGGTTGACAAAAGCTGCCCTCTGTGGTGTGATTCCCATGTTAAAGCAAAACTTGTCCTGGATTCTAAGTATAGAATCAGAATAATTTTTTTTTCAAAGCTTTTCCTGTGACATTTAGAATTTTCAAAAGGATCACAGCTAGTAAAAGCTCTGGGAAAATTTTTGAATTGTTATTCAGTTAAGTCCAGTAGATTTGCCCGTCTCTTAATATGATGCTTTTAGAGATTTTAAATCCATAGCCTGATCTCCCAGTCGCTTTGTGGTTTTGGATACAGTTGGCCATTAAGCACAATGCTACAATTATATAAATGGAGTTTGGTGACTAACAGTTAGAAAGCAAATAAAAATGAACATAACCCTGAGCTAGCATGACCAGGCTTTGCTGGAACCATAAAGGCTAAGGTTAAACCTTCTGGAATACCGAGAACATTTAGTGACCTATACAAGAAAAAGGCTATTAGTTAACAATAAAATTAATTTAAGGCCTTATATAGGGAACACTGACATAGTCTTACAGGCTTCCTGCATTAAGAATTTCTTCCCTTGCTCCAAGGCTCAGCTCCCATATTGCCTTATCCCTAAACCTGTCCCTAATTGCCCCTTTAGAAAATTCTCTCTCCCTCTTTTTATTGCACTTGTGTGTGCCACTTTCTTTATTTGATTACAAGTTCCTTGAGGTCCCAGACTCTACTGATCATAGAATTGGCAGAGTACTTAATTCAGTCCATAAGACCAAGATCACAGTGCTAGCTTATAACAGAGCCAGGGACTAGAACATGGATCTTCTAACTATTGGGCCAGTCTTCTTTCTACTGTGCTACTGTGCTAATGTGAGAATCACTGGCACCAACAATCCTAGAAATCTGTCACATGTACTTAATCTCTACTATCTGGAAATGCAAATACTAAATACTTTGAGAAACCATTTGAGAATTTCCAGCAAAAATCGCAGAATTCATTATGTTACGGTCAGCATTATTTTATGGTGTGGGGGGAAGGGGGGGAATATTTGAGACCATCTGCTCTCTAGATCTAGCATTTTTTAGCTAACTTCACCAATAGATATTCATGCTTTCACTCACCCATCCTGTAACCTAAGTCCTTCTGTTACTATGGAAGAGCCAGAAAGAGAGAGGAGGGAAAGGGGGCAGACAAAGAGGGAGGGAGAGGAGAGAGAAAGAGAAAGGAAGTAATACAGTAAGGGGGGAAGGGGGAGAAAGGAGAGGGAGAGAAGAAGGAAAGATGGAGAGGAAGGAGAGAGGAGGGGGAAGGGAGACAGAAGGAGAGGGAGGGAGAATATCAATGAGGCATTTTTCTAAGGAGTTAAAGGAGAGACAAGAATAAACAGGATGATTT